CCAGAACTATTTCTGTGCCCTACTTGTGAAGGCAGAAACCAGATTTCAGGTAGGCAGACATCTTGTTGAGAAGATGAAGCAGCAGAGATAGATTATTTTTTTTAAATATATGTATTTTTTAGTTGTTGATGGATCTATTTTTAAATTACATGTGTGCTGAGAATTGTACCCAATGCCTCACACATGCTAGGCAAATGCTCTACCACTGAGCCACAACCCCTGCCCCAGAGATATATTATTTTTAAAGCTTGATTATGAAGTGGGGAGGAAAGGGCAGAGAAACACAGCACTTAAACACACAGCATGTACTTGCCCAGGGAGAGGACATGGGAGTTGATGGTGGTAACTTGAGGGGCAGTCAGGGTCAAGAGGGGAGTTTCTTAAGAATGTCAGAAATTTGATCATGTTTATAGCCTGAGGAATGAGAGCTGATGGTGAGGAGAGATTAAATGCCTGTCAAAGTGGATGATTGATGGTCCTACCCTAGACTAGTACTGAGCTTGCTGGGAACTCCTCAAACAGAGCACAGAGGTGAAGGAGAGGCTAGGGCCATGTGAATGGGAGTCATTCTGAGTTACCAGCTAGAGAGAGAAGCAGGTCCATAACACAGGGACAAAGTCAAAGATAATTTTTAAGTTTCATAGGTCGTGTGAGGATGCCTGAAGAATCTGGAGACTGAGAAATGGCAAGAAACAGGAAGGTCAGTGAGAGGTGACGATTCAGGAACAAATTCTGGAAGCACTGTATCCTTTGATGCGTACTTTTTCTGTGCAATCTGGAAACTTTTTGGGTTAGGGAACTGTTCTAAAAAGTGAAAGAACCTGACAGAGAGGATGGTCATGTGCTGTTGTGGCACATTAGCCTTGGAAAGGAGCCGAGTGCTTGCTACTTCTAAGACAGGGTTTTAGGAGATAAGAATGAGATGATTCTGGAAAATGTTGAAATAGGAAGAATTTAAGTTCAATGAATAATCTGTTGGTTTTTCGCTTTTCGGTAAACACAAGGAGAAATTATTTGAAGAGGAGAGGGGTGCATTGTGGGGTTTATGGCTTGAGAACAGAAAAGATTTGGAGAAATCCCTGAAAGGAATCAGAGATGAGCACAACATTTTTCAGGCAGTATTGGAAGATAGACTGTAATTTGATAGTGTGAATTTGTCTCAAAACCATCATTAAATGACTTTTGCTAGTAATTGTCATGCCATTGGGAATGGAAACAAACAAAAGACTGAGACTTGGCTGAATTGGGCTCTAATGAACACACAGTACATCAGGTTTCAGAGTAGGGTGTGCTGGGTGAAGGATTTTTTGGTATAAATAAGAGTACAATTGAAATGACTAACCTTACGGAATCTAGTGGATAGGGAGACAAGTACTGTTTAAAGGAAGTTGATAAACCAGGAAAACAATGAGTTACTAAGTAACTAGTGGTCACAGAAGAAGAAATTAGAGATTGAATGAGCAAGTAGGGCAGTTGAAAGGTTAGAAGATTGTAGCCAGTGGAGGGAATTTCAGAGTTGAGGATTTTAGAAGCAGAGAAAACACATTCTGGGTAAAGATGAGAATCAAGCTCTGGCCATGCTGCTGAGAAGCTAAAAGGAAGTAGAAGTAAAGCCTGTGGGAGCCGAGATTCACTGTGAAGCTGAACAGAAGGTCAATGTGACTACTGAGCAGAAAAGTCATTAACGACAATGTTGAATCTACTGAGGAGACACAAAGTGCCCAAAGTAGGTAGAAAAGATATTGATGAAAGCTGTTGATGGGAAATGAGAGAATGTCTTGGTTCTGGATATTTGGGGAGAATATAACTGAATGGTGCTGCCTTATAAGAGGAGGGTTGATGCCGATGATTAGTGGAGACAAACAGTGGTTTGGAAGCAGTCCTGGAACAGGGACGAAGGTGTTCAGTAAATTGGGTTGGTGGGAACACAGTGTCCTCCACTTAAGATGATTGGGAAGAACATGGCACACTGTGAGAAAATACAGGATTCTGTTTATTTTGGAAGTAGAAGGAGTAATTGAGAATGTCAGTGATTAATTCCTACTAAGTTATACATTTTTAGAGATTCCAGTACATAATAAGTGATAAGAGGCCTTGCTCAGTCTGGAGATAGTGAAGTAGAGCTGGATTGCAGTAAGCTTATTGAAGACTGTGTTTTGAATTCATGTACTAGAACATTTATTGACAAGGACAAGGGGAAGATGATCATCACAGGTAGAAGAACATGCTAATAGTTATAAGCTAGGAGACAGTAAGCCAAAGCTTTATTATTAGTGAATCATAATAGATTTCTAATTAACACTAGCATGTCCAACTGGAATGTCCACTTTCAATGTGAGCATGACCAAGTGAAAAACTGGCTAATTGGACTGGATATTGGAACCAATTACAATATTATTCTCATCAGCTAGAACATTGGTATGACCAATTACAACTGGTAGTTAAAACAGCTAGAGAGATTTTTGGCAGTAGCGGAAGTAGAATAGACTTTTAACTTTCAAGGGAGACACATTCTGAAGCTTTTTTGAATTCCACCAAAGCAGTATCTCAAATGCTCATCAGTAGAAAAATTGCATGAATATCATCTTACAGCACTCGAATAGTCAACAAGGGCTGTATTTTAACATGATGTCCCTAAGTGTTGGCTTCTGGTAAGTATTTAAAAATATAAATGAAGTCTCCTAGAGAACTTTTCTTTTTAGATCTCTGAAGTAATTGTTCTTGTGGACCTTAATTTGTGTAATTTTTCCTTTTCTCTGTTGCATTGCAGTAAGTAAGCTTGCATATTCATTGTAGTCCATTCCTATTTGTTCACAGGACTTTATAGCATGAGTTTTCTATGAACTGTAACTCTTGAGTTCAACTTCTATTTCTATCTGCTTTAATTTTAGGATTTTTTTTAACCTGGATATATCTATTTTGCAAACTGCCTTAAATCATTTTTGAAACAAGGCAGGTAGATGAAAGATGGGAAGAGATAGACAATGAGATGGTAGAAAGTAAGGGTCAGGGGGAGAAAGAAGAAGAGGAGGAGGGGGGTAAGGGAATAGGTGATATGGGGATGATTACATCTTGAGAAATTCAAATACTCAAGACCAAGAGAACTCATAATTTCTGTGTGTCCTCCATCCAGGGAAGAATTGCTTAAGGCCCTCCATAGCCTGCCTAACCTTAGCATCAGACCCTGGTAGATAGTATGTGGCTCAATGAAATCTTGTCAATCTGAGAGGATATTTCCTTGGCTCAGTGCAAATTTGCTTATTACTGTGTATATATGTTTTTTTCCCTCAAAATTCTTGAATTTTTTTTTTCTGTTTGGGAAGCAGTGTGATATCTTAGATAGAAATGAATTCTGGAATTAAACAGAACTGGGTTTGAAAACTAATGCTGCTGCTGATTAGCATGTGTCTTTGGCCAAAAGATTTACTTACCCTTTACAGTTCTGTTTCCTCATCTATAGAACTGGGATACTAATATTTACTGTCAAATTCCTAGGAGGATTTATTAAGAGGATGTATGTGAAAGCACCCAGAAGTATCTGACACAGAGAAGGCACTCAACAAATCCAAATTCTCCATTGCATTGGACACACTTATCTGCCTGACTCCTTGTAGCCAAGTAGCCCAGTTCTGGCTCTGCAGAGCTGCTGCCTCTGCCCTGTCAGTCAGCTTCTAGTTTGGCCAGTCCAGGAAGAAACGGCCTCCTCAGCTCAGAGCTCAGAGAATCCATTGCACTGAGTTGATGGACTTCTAGATTTTCATCCCCTCAGGTTAGCACATGAGCAGTTTGTCCCAGGTACTGGCAGCCTTTGACCTGGGGAATTATGTAATCCAAGTCAAACTATCTGTCCTCTCTGGTTTGATTTATGATCTGAGGACAGTTTTAAATCTATGAAATCAGAACTGTTAGGTCAGAATGTTGAGATCACCATTGTTATACTGGGGTTGGGATGCCCAAGATGATACAAAATGTGTAGAACAATGAAGGATATTATGTCTTTTTTTGTCTAATACTTTGATCTGTTGCTGTCCTGATTGCCAGGAACATTCTCCTTGCCAGGAACTACCATGTGCCAGGATTTTGACCATGACAGGACATTGCTATTTGCCAATGGAAATATCTGTTGTCCTGAACTTTGGGAAGTGCTTTTGGTTTTTGAAGTCTTTTATAATTTCTAGTAACCCTCAGCAGATTTTTTACTATCTCCTTTGTTTTTTAGTAAGTGTATTTTATAAGTGTATGTATTTATGACAAATTTGTTGTTAAAGATCTGAGATATCTGATTGTAGTCAGTCACCATTCTAGCATTGGCAGGTCTATTAATAACTTTCTTGATCTCTCCTCACAATTAGGAAAGAACAGCCTTCTTGTTTACGTACCACAATGTTCAAATTGTAATTTTGGTACTTCTCAGAAAAGATCCATCTCATATAATAAGATTCCTATACAATTATCAAATAAATACTTATAAATATCCACTTTCTATTCTAAATCCCATCTATGTTCACTGTAATGAGATCTTATATTGAGATGGCTAGAGATTGGACTCAATATTGACTGTGCCCAGCAGGTGATCTAGAAACTTTGGTTTTGAAAAAGACATTATTAATGTGAATTTTTGTTTATATGGTAGAGAGGAACTGCTAATTTGTCTTAAAAATAGAGATGGAAGAAGTTGATTCTTTGAGAGTACCCATGTGTTTTTTTCTGTTTGGAAATAATTAACAAGAATTTTTTTGTGGTGAAACATGTGTTTTGATAATTGTCATTCATATTGTCTTTCAAAAATCACAGTGGGTCACACCAGGGGATGTGCTATCCCTGAGAGAACCAGTGTCAGCCCTGGCCCATCTCTAATAGACCTGGAAGTTATATGCAGCAGTCTCAGTTTTGTAGTGTGCAATATACAACTTAGATACTGCCTTACATCTATAGATGGAGCTAGAGCTGTCCTTGTAGCAATGTTGGTTTATGATATTTGAGATCTGTTTTTCTTGTAGGAGCTGCTAAGTCGCACATCTCTTGAGACCCAGAAGCTTGATCTGATGACTGAAGTGTCTGAGCTGAAGCTCAAGCTGGTTGGCATGGAGAAGGAGCAAAGAGAGCAAGAGGAAAAGCAGAGAAAAGCAGAGGTGGGTACGATACACCAAATTCTGGAAGGTCCTATAATTGTACTAAGCTTAGACCTGGATAAGTAGGGAACTGGGAGGGACTATCCTAATATGGACTCAGCCATCTGGTCAACCCCAATTGTGGCAGCCACTGGGTGCCAGGAATATCTATGCAACTAGTGACACAATGATTTGTTAATATCAAGTTATCAGATTTTGCTGTGACTGCAAATTTCAGCAATACCCAAACCACCCAGTATTGGCTCTAAGTTTTTATCCTCCCTCAAACTGCTGACAAGGATGGAAAGGCATGCAGTAATGAGGGAAGGATCAGACAAACATGGAGGGACACAAATGTCTTCTGTAAGAACCAAGGTAGTGACAATGTACTGGGATGAAGTACAGCTTCCCAACAGGCCACTGTCACTATATCCAGAGAGTCTAGAGACATTTTGTTTACATACATTTCACTGATCCAGATGGAGCCCTCAGATTGCATGTTTCTTTTCTCCTGATGGGTCATATGGGTGTGCCCGTGCATACGCCTTGTCTAAAAGAATATTTTCTTACTTTTGTTTTTTAGGCCCCATTTGCCATTAGTTACAGCATGCCAGACTCCTTTTTGGATAAAGGTTTAGAGAGGGTTAGGCTCTGTAGCATTTTTATTTGAGAGAACAGCCTGTTTTAACCTTAGACAGCCACCTTCATAGTCTTTACCTTCAAATCTTTTACACCCAGCATTATGAGGTACAAATGAAAATAGGTTTTGGTTTCAGAAAAACCTAGGCAGATTTACTCATATATATCTGCTCAGTAGCTCTATGAACTTCAATAAGTTAGTTACTTAATCTCTCTAAACTTCATTTTCTTTATCTATAAAATGGATAACTTTGTGGTGAAGACCAAATAAACTTACAAAAGTTAAGTGCCTATCATAGTATGCATGTTTAGAATTTGGCATTTTGTATGTACTTGGTTTACCTTCATCTCTAGGCTTCTTAAAACTCTAAACATGCATATTGTTCCATTCTGAAAGGCATCAACATTGTTTGCACTGACACGTGCCATATTTCTGTTTGCTGGGTAAATGCTGGCAATTGGGACACTTCAATGTGTAGGCATATTCTTTACATTGCGTTTGAAAACCCACTCCTTATATTTAGTAAGAAGTGTAGTTAGTTGCCAAAGGAGGATATCTCTAGTAAGCTGAGACAGTGGCTTCTAGTGATTAAGAGTATAAGCTGTGGACTCAGAGCTCCAGCTTTGACCTATGCTAAGCTACTCAGAAGCTTTATGATATTGGCCAAGTAATTTCACTCCCAAATCCCTATTTCTTCTCCTATAAAATGATAGAGATAGCAATACTTGCTATTTCTTTGGTTGTCCTGAGGAGTGAGTGGGATCATGTATGTGCAGTCCTTAACTCAGTGCAGGACACATAGTAGTAGCCAGTTTTTATTGATCACTTACTGATAGCATTGTTAGCATGTTAGAAACGGAAATGTAGATTTGAATACATATTTACATGCCTCAGAGGTCTCAGACACAAAAAACCAATCTGTATGAAGTATTTATTAATCAAATGGACTGTGTCTTAAATGTTCATAGAAAAGCAGTTGGGTTTTATTCTGATTTTGTCACTTTACCAATATTTAAAGATATGTAATTACATGTGAATATACATTATGGCTTTGGAGGCAGAATTCAGTAAAGCTTAGTGAGAAGGCTTAAAGTTGCAGAAAGTCAACTCAAAGACACTTAAAAAAAGAAGAGAGAGTTGTTATGTCACACAGCTTGAAAAGTCTGGGATTTAAAAAGTCTGATATGACTAGATCAGGGTAATCTCACAGAGTCATTTAAAAATCAGTTTTACTGTATCACTTAGTTTTCTTTTATTCTCAGAAAGTCTCTCCCATCTGGTAACAAAGATGCTGTCAGTAGCTGTGCATTGATGTCCTGCCAGGCTGGCAGCCCCTGCGGACATTCTTTTTCTTAAAGATTCCAGAAAAAGCGCTAGGGTTGCATCTCTTTGGGCCAATTTTGGTCACTTGCCTGGTTGTACACCAGTCAGTATATGGATTACATGTGTGGGATGTGTGAGTGGAGAGTCAGTCCACCTGTGGAAAAATGCAGTTAATGTGGCAGCCACTCAGTCCCTTTGTAGGGGAAATCAGAAAGAAAGGAGAGCTCCCACTTCTGGGTTATATATTGCTAAAGCAGTCATTTTACTTCTCTCTCTCTCTCTCTCTCTCTCTCTCTCTATCTATCTATCTCTCTGTCTCTTATCTTTCTTTCTTTCATTTCTGAAGCATTATTTTATAATCTGAGCTTTTTGTTGTTGTTTTTCCATCAGGCAGTTTTGGCAAGAGGCAACACAGACCCTGTTTTTAGCCCCTGTTTTACCAGATCACAGCCCTTCCCCATTGCTAGTACAAATATTAGGTTTCCATGTGGAGGAATTCTGTAGACTGTTTAAACCTGTGATATTCAGTGAGCAGCCACATGACCTGAAATAAATTCCTCATTCTTGTAACTGAGCATGCTCTTTGCTAGTATGCTCAGGTCCTCTGCCTCTCTCTGTAGCTACTGGAGCACAGGGACTTAAAATTATGAGTGTTGCTGAAGCTGCACTGTGGTCATATGATGGAGATGTTTATTTTGAGTGAGACATTTTGCTAGCTCAGGTCATCAGAGGTTGTAACTGTATAAATAAAGGGAATGCTGCTTTCCTTCCTATACTGCTGCTGTATTTTTCCAGTGAATGTATTTAGCCTAAGGGCTGATTGCTTGTGGTTTGGAAAAGACAGGACTTTTTTTTTTTTTTTTAAGTAGCCAGAACTGAAGTAAACTTCCTCAGGATAGCTCCAGCTTTATCCTCAAATTCCATTTTATGTTTCAATGAAAAAAAGAAGCTGCTGTTAACAAGAGTGCTGCAGACTGCTCTTTCTGCTCTGGTTCTGATCATACCCTTAAGCCACGGTTCTTAAATCTGCTCTGAGTTGTGGAAATGATTTCTGGTGGCCACTCAGTAAGACCTGAGGACTTGGAGGCACAGATTTTTTGATGGCCAGTCCGGTTTAGGGGTTGCTATGTAGTGGCTCACAGGAGCTAAGGGTGAATATTGAGTTTCCTATTTATTTTACCTTTTCTCTCCAACCTTTTGCAATGGTTCTGGGCTATATTAGGGTATCCAAGATTTAATTAATTAGATTTACTCCTGAAAAGCAAGATTACAGAAGATGGAAAATTAGTGCCAGATTTAGGATTATATAACTTGAAATATGAATATGATATAACATGAATATAAGAAATATTCCCCAATCATTCAAAATTCAAGATATAGCAAAAGGTCTCTTTCTACATCGTCTGATAGCCAGAAGTCAGGATCCAATGTTATCAGTTTGTTTTGTATCTTTGCAGTTATTTTATGCATGAACAAGCAATTCATGTGGAGACACACACACACACACACACACACACACACACACACAGAAAGACTCCGGGGCAAAGGAAGCCTCTGTATGGTACCGCAGATCAAAGACATTTCAGAGGCATATTAATCAAAAGGGTATTGGAGAAGGGATGTGTGGGGAGCCTGCATCTGAATCCCATTGTGGGACCCAGTGAGTTCTGAGCATAGCTGCCAGAGCTGCCTGTTAAGAGGGGAGCAGGGATCCAGGAGTGCTGACAAATGGAGTTATCCCAATTTATCAGGGATTTATGTGAACAGGAAGAGAACTAGAAAGAATCTTTAGGTTTTCCTGGCTGAACATGGGAAGGCCTACAACCCAGGTGGTGGTGAGGTTATCATTCCTTCTTCATGTGGTTAGGACCTTAGAAGGGAGGGATTTCACTTTCTCAGCAGGAGCAATCAGAATGATGGACTCTGGCCACAGAGCAAGAGCTTGGAACATTTTATGTGCTCAGACATGGACAGGCCTGGGAAGAAGATTTTTATTATTCTTGCTTTTATAAATATACTTTTTTCATTAGTATAAGAAATATACTTCAATCATTCAAAATTCAAGAATCAAGAGGATATATAGCAAAAGGTCTCCTTCTATACCTGTCTGATAGCCAGCAGTCAGGATCCAATGGTATCAGTTTGTTTTGTATCTTTGCAGTTATTTTATGCACGGACAAGCAATTCCTGAGGAGACACACACACACACAGAGAGAGAGAGAGAGAGAGAGAGAGAGAGAGAGATTACAAATTCTCACTATTCTAAACCTTTCTTTTAAAAATGTACCAGTCTTAGAGTTCTTTTCATACTAAGTATAATAAGAACAACAACAAAAACTTCCTCATATATACTTATGTCTGCATATTTTCTATGGACTATGCCTTAATGAATTTAACCAGTTCTCTTTGGTAGACATTTGTTTCCAAGTTTTTGTGGTTACACATAATACTTTTAGCGAATAATCTCAAACGTGTGTGAGGCTCTTGAAGTGGAAATGATGGGTCAAGAGTACATGCACTTGAAATTTTGATATATTTCCAAATTGCTGTCTATAGAGTATAGAGGTTATTTCTTTTTTTATATATTTATTTTTTTAGGTGTAGATGGACACAACATCATTTATGTGGTGCTGAGGATCGAACCCAGGTCCCACCCACGCTAGGGGAGTGCTCTACCGCTGAGCCACAATCCCAGCCCCAATATAGAGGTTATTTCTACCATCAATAAAATGCCAGGACAATATTAAATTGGAATAAAGGAAGAGGAAAAGAAAAAAACTAAGGATAATTGTGAACCAGTTTAACTAGTAGGAAGGGAAGGAAAAGCTATGATTGTGGGAGGTCCTGAGTAGTTTCACATAGAAAAGAACCTTAAAAATGAACTTTGATGATTGGCAAAGCAGGATTAACAAACTGCATAAACTGAGATTACAACATAGAGCAGCAATTACAATCTCATAAACATAACCTGAACATCATGATGTGGGACCCAAGAATGGATAAGTCACTTGCAAAAAACAGCTTTAAAGGAGTTTGTGAGGTGGGAGAGAAACATTTATGGTAAGAGAGGAGATGGGCCAGCCCTGAAGATAAAGAATTAGAAAGCTAAATTTAAGTGTCACATGTGATGATACACACATACCAGGAAACAATAACAACATGTGGTTAGGGAGAACTAAGGGTTATGGCTTGGCAGTGTTGGGTGTATCACATTGTCACACAAAGCAGAGGAAGAAAAATAGATACATTTCTGTTATACATCCCCAAACTGATCAGATACAGACAAGGGGCAGTAATGGAGGGAAAGGGGCAACAATTATTTGGATAATTCCTAAAAAGTCTTCACTTGAATACTGAAGTATTTGAAAGTTTTTTTTTTTTCATTTACTAGGATCTACCTAAAAAGGAAGAATATAAAACTGGGAAAGCTGCCCTTTTAGCTACAAATTTGAAGCAAAGGGAGAAAGTGCTTTAAGAAGGAAAAGTGTGTTAAGAGTGAGTGGTCATTTTTATTTGAAAGTTCATGTAATTGAGCAAGGAGAAAACTAGGCACAGACAGACATGCACTTTGAAAGTTTAGAAATAAAGAATCTGGGGAACTCTAGAAGAGAAGATTCAATGATATTGAGCTGCTGAAAAAAATAATATAGTTCTCACTGTGCCACCTCACAGATAGTATCAATAAAAAGGAAGGACTTAACAATACCTTGAGAGAAACTAGATTTTAAAGGGACCTATACAAAAGATAGAAAGGAAATTTACTAGACAAATAAAAGTGCACCTGCATGACCAGTATCAGGAAGGGCAAACTCCCAACAAAGAATAGTGCTGCTGAGGACAATAGAAAGTCTTTTAAAAAGGTATGGTTTTATTTTTAAGAAGATCAAAGAAGAATAGGCTTGATCCTTCTAATGCCTCTGACAGGTGCAAAGAACTTAGGACAGCAGTCCCAAAGCTGTTTTTTGCAAGTGACTTTTGAAGGAGTTAAGGAAAATCAAGTGAGTTGCTGGGAAACTAAAAGTGAACCCTTCTTGATTTTTAAAATAGTGAAAATAAAAATTTAGATGGATTCTGTAAAACTTGCTTTATTGGGTTTGGAGTCAGCCCTCTAATGATTTATGGGAAACTATAAGAAAAAGTAGGAATCTGTGTCCACTACGAGTGAATCACTTCAAATTCGACCTCATTGGTGTGGTTGGGAGTGTGTCTTATGGTTGTAGACCAGGAAGGTCCACACTTCAGTGGGGCATTGCAAAACTTTGCTTGGGATGGTCTTTTGGACAAGGCAAAGAAATATAGACTGGGTGCTAAAATAGGTCTATTGACATCTGAATGAGCATAGGATTGGGGACACGTTATCATGTATGCGTCATGCCTAATGTGTAGGTCACTTGTACATGGCTGTTGACACGTTTGGCTGTGTGCATGGGGGAGTTAGCATGTGTAGCATGGACACTTGTGTGGAAGGGAGGTGTCTTTCTTTGTGCCCCTATTATGTGCCTGTCTTTGCTGTTGCTTCTTCTGCTTGGGTGAAGCAATCTCAAAGACTGTTCATCTCAGATGTTGACATGGAAGGATGGCCATTCAACATAGCACAAAGGAGGTGTCAGGAGTTTGCTCAAACTGGAAGAAAGGCTATAGATACAGCAAGTCTCAGGAAAAATGCCACGTCTTTTGGTTCCTGAGAAGAGAATGGTCTGCCATGGACAGTGACTATTGGGGGCACCTGCTGCTTACCCTCTGTATACTTCCTTCCATGTTGCTCTCCACAGGAGTTCTGCCTCTGTTCACTGACCTTGAGTGCTTTTCTCTTCTTTCTCTTCCTTCCCACAGTCAGTTCTGAATGTGATCAGTGAGCTGCAGGAGCAGATGTGTAGGCTGCAGATGGACATCCACAGGCAGATCCAAGAGCGCCTCTTACTCAGTAGGGACCACTCTGAGGAGGTGGCGGCCAGCAGCTGTATGGCTGAGCCCCAGCCCTGCAGCCAGAACTGTGCCCCTTGGGAGGGTTCACCTGTAGGAACATACTTAAGTATATCAGAGCATGCGTGTGTGGGGCATTTCATTGCTGGAGGGCTGGGGTTTCTCTTCTAACCAGTACAGAGTGCAGTGGCTTAGCATGGATCTGGTATTAACTTGGATCAGAGATTGGACTGTTCAGTCCTCTTGTGATGTGAGGTGAGCTCTGAGAACCTTACTAAGCATGGTCTGAGCAAGTGAGTCAGCCCTCCAACAGGAATGAGGTGTGTCAGATTCTCTGAGTAATGGGGTATCTATGCAAAAGGTAATCTTGGGAGTCTCCTCCCCAAGATTCAGTCACATTCTTCCTCCTGCACTGGAAGATTAAATGGAACTGCATTTCACATGATTCTCCTTTTTTAAAGGAAAAAACAGTATTATGAAAAAGAATCAAATTATGTTTAAAGAGGTTTAGCCCTAGTGGAAAAATAGAACACAAATTTTCATTTGCTGATAGCAATTAAATCATCACCTGAATTTCCAGGAAAAAAAATACCCCACATAATCACATTAGAGTGATTTCATGACCTGGAGGTCATGCCTGGGGCCATATGCCAAAGAAGTCACAAGAGCGTGGAGAGCATAACCTCTGCGTCCCCATAGTGGTATCCTCTACTTTTCCTATTGTGCCATCTGTCATGCCCTCTCAGGAACAACAGAAGAACCCCCATTGTAGGGATTGGAGGGATTGGAGCACCACAGGCAGGACCAATAATGTTCCTAGTTGTTGAAAGTTGAAACAGGCGACTGAGACCTTGAAGTCTAACAATGTGGATCATGGACACAATAACTTGAGTTTATAAGACATTTTTTTCTTTTTAAACAGGTGTTACCAATGTTCACCTCAGCTATAAGGCAATCTTAACAAGTTCCCCTACAAAATTTAAGTGTAAGCAATGTCACTTTGCAGCAGAGTGTTTCAGAATGCAAAGAAGTCAGGTGTTCATTCATTGATAAATAATGCATATCTACTATGTACCAGAACCTGCTGGCAAACACTTAGTAGATTTAAAGTATAGGAGAACTAGCTAATAACAATCACATGGAGAAAGAGATCAGGAAGAGGGCAGGCTAGGCTGACTGCATTAGTTTATGAACTTTGAGAAGCAAGGGAATATGGTGAACAGATTTGTGTTTTAATCATATTGTTCCCCTGGATGCTGTAGAAGTCATTGATTGCAACAAAGGAACAATCAATGAAGAGACTGTGAGGCTACCAACATTCATTGCTATAGGAGAGAAATGAGATATTCCGGTTATTCTCTTGGAAGTGAAACTGATAAAGGCCTGGAAATAAATTACATATGTAAGGGAAGAGGGAGAAAGAGATACCAATTGCTCAGGCAAATAGATGGATGAAACAAATGACTAAGATGGGGAATTAAGGATTCCACTTGGAACATGACAGTTCTGAGATGCCTGGGTAACATCTGCATGGAAATGTTAAGTAGGAAGCTTGTGATGTGAGTTTGGAATTCAGAAAGCCTATGGAGATAATGATTTTTATGCCAGTTCATCTGATAGGGAATCTTGGTTCAAGACCACAAAGCTTAGTGATATCTTCTTATTGGAGTAATTTAAAAAGCAAGGGCCCTAACGTCAGAAGATATGGGCTTGAATTCCAGCTCTACCACTTGCTAGCTATATGAACACAGGCAAGTTGTTTAAATATCCTTTCTCCACTCAGCCACTGTCAGTGGCTTCCTACCATTCAGAGGATGGCATCAGAATTCCTTATAGTTTCATCTGAAAGCCTTTATAATAAAGCCCCATCTTAACTTCCCAGCCTCATCTCCCACTGTGTGCTGACACCCATCCAGCCCAACACAATAATAGGTTATCTCCCTTTCTGTCTTCTGCCTTTCTCCTAACCCCCATGTATCTTTTTGCTCTCTTCTTTTTTCATACTAACCTCCTACTCTGAATTAAAACTCCATACTGGGTGTCTACATTTGACACTTAGCATTTGTTCTCTTGGTGTGTCATTTCTATCCTGCTTTCACTTCCTCTGTGAAACCTGCGAGGGTCACTGACCTCTACTCTGCCCTACCTGCTGTTCCTCCAACTTCAGCACAGAGAGATGCTCACAATTAACCCGCTTCCTGCTCCTTTGCCTAAATTGCGAGGGGGGGAAAAACCCCACTTTTGTTCGGCATCTCTGGTCCTCTCATGCTTGAGTCTTACTTTCCAGGCTCCCTACACACCTGTGCATGAATTGGGTATACCCCACATAGGACATAAATGTAGAGAAAAGGGCAGGCAGAGCAAGTTCTAAAAATAAAACAACAGTTTTCTTATACCTGGAACTCTGTGGCCTTTGTTTTTAACACAGCCACAAAGCTTTGCCTGAAACACAAACTGTGTTTAAAAATGGACGCTGCAGTGTAGAGCTTGATGTGGTTACTGCTGCCCCTGGCATTGTCTTTGCATGAACTTAACCAGGTTTGGAGACCCAGAGCCTGCCCTTTAAACATTAGAACTTTGTCTTTCTCCCCCTTCCTTCTAGGAATTACTACAAGAGCTCAAGCACCTCAAAATCAAAGTGGAAGAGTTGGAAAATGAACGGAATCAATATGAATGGAAGCTGAAGGCCACTAAGGTAAAAGGCAGATGTGATGCTCACAGGGAGGGGTTCTGTGGGGAGGATTATGGTTCAAACCCAGGGTTTCCGGCTGGGTTGAGTACTTGCCTAACATGCCTGAGGCCCTGGGTTCAATCCCCAGTATCTCAAAACCTCAGGGTTTCCAGCAGCCTAAGTTTGAAAATGCAAATCAACCCCTCTAGCTTGTGCAACAGATGGATTGGATCCAGGGTGGCTCCTCATGGAGAGCCTGGGAGATGATGAGCTGCTGAAATATAGTAATGAGTTTACTTCCTCTTAGTACATAGCTGACATTCACTGAGAAGGGGCCAGAAGGGAGTGAGAAACTGAGTGAGCCAGAGAGTGGTTAGTCATAAAGCACATGAGCATCAATGTTATATTGTGTGCATTGTTTTAAACTTAGCAGTCCCCTTTTATAATTAATTTTTCAAAAAGTCACATGCATTATATTTAGGAATGAATTTATTCCTAAAATGATATAAACTTTGAGTTTTTTTTCCATCAAATCACATTTCTATTAAACTTGGAGAGGTTGCTATGTAAAGGACACCATGAATAAATTCTATTGTGAAATAAAATATATTCCCTTCCTTTATTTCTTCTGTTTGCAGTGTGGAGATTAAAACTAGTTGAATTTAGCTCACAATTTTTTTTTTTTGCCTGCATATTATATTTTAAAATGCCAAACTAATTTCATTTAAACATCAGGAAATTTCACATTAAAATACAGTTAGGCTGTTTTTAGTTCTTAAAGGAATTTAATGTACAGCAATCTATAATATATTTCAAAAAACTAGAAGAGTACAAAAGTTTCCAACACAAAAATGGTTAACATGTGAGATGAAATTTCTTATACCATGATTTGATTATTACACATTCTATATACATATCAAAGTATCATACTTATCAGGCTATACCCTATAAAGATGTGCAAATATTAGGTTTCAGTAAAAAAAAAAAAAAAATACAGTTGGGCTTTTTTTGAGGAGGTAGAGGAAGCTCTTCACAACCCTGGAAAACATTCCTGCTGGGGGGAGCCTGGTAGCCTTTCCCCTTGGCTAGATGACACACCTGCCTTTCCCTAGGATTCTGCAGTGCCACCCACAGTTGTTACTGGATGGTCCCTGTAGGCATTTTAATTTTCACTTATTAGAGTTTTAAAAGTATTTCTTAGAGTTTTATTAAACTACAGTTTGTATTTTTATTTTTCTACAAGTTAATTGCTAATGATACTTTCACAAAGAGTTTTCACACCATAAAAAAATTAAAGGAATTGGCCAGGCATTGTGGCACACTCCTGTAATCCCAGCAACTTGGGAGGCTGAGGCAAGAGGATCGCAAGTTCAAAGCCTACCTCAGCAACTTAGTGAGGCCCTAAGCAATGTTGTGAGACCTGCAAGAAGCCATTTGTGAAATACATGGATCTTCTTTCAGTATGGAAGCCAGGGAGAGAGAGGCCTGGGATTGGGAACTTTCCATGGCTCTCCCACGGCCACAGATTGCCCAATGCACATGACCTTTCCCTCTGCTCTGCTAGGAAGATTTCTTAGAGTAGTTCCAGAGATGGGTAGAACCCCTTAGGAACTGAACAGCCCACCTTTAATCTTTTTTGGAAAAGAACATTCTGTAGAATCTCTTTGATGTTTCCCAATATAAATAAAGCAGGCATGGGCCTCATTTTGTCTAGAAGTCTGATCAGTTTGCCTGTCCTCTCCCTGCTTTTGAAACAACTTTCTGTGTTCTGTGTTTTTTTTTTAAGTTTTATTTCTCTTAGCTTTTATTTCTCAGCCAGTCCATTCCACCTAGGGGAACCCCATTCCCACTACCTATGCGGGATGTGGGCAAGAAAGACCCTGTCTCATAATAAAAAAATAAGAAAGTTCTGGGGATGTACTCAGTGGTTAAGCGCTCCTGGGTTTAATCCTCAATACCAAAAAATAAAGAAATAAAAAATACTCAGCCGTCCTAGGAGCTACCCTGTTAATATTTCCTTCCAGATAGTTTTTTCTTTCTTTTTGTGTCTTCCCTCTCTGTTTTTTTTTTCCTTTCTCTCTCTGTTTCTGATGTTGATAATTTATATACAGTTTTTTACCTTTTTTTAATTTAAAATTTTGCAATTTCCCATATAGTGAAAGAAAATACTGAACATGATGTTAATATCTCCCTAATATTCTAACATATAAATGTAAAATAACTTGCTTAACCATTTCATAAATGATAAAAAGGAGGCAGAGAGAGGTAAGTAAGTCTCCCAGAATTTTTTTTTGGGGGGGGCAGTAACTGGGGATTGAACTCAAGGGCATCAACCACTGAGCCACATCCCCAGCCCTATTTTGTATTTTATTTAGAGACAGGGTCTCACTGAGTTGACAGATTGCTTTTGCTGAGGCTGGCTTTGAACTCATGATCCTCCTGTTTCAGCCTCCTGAGCTGTGGGATTACAGGCATATGCCACTGTGCCTGACTCTTTCAAGATCTTATAGCTAGTCAGGACCAACCTGGATGATGGAGTCCATCTGCCCACCTGTCTGTTGATGTCTGATGATGGCCTTGGATGTGCTATGTTTCACAGTCACCAATTCTAAGAGCATTGTGTTTGTTCAGTAGCCCAAAACCTTCTATCACAGTGCTCCACTCAAGCAAGTCCTGTCTTGGTGAAACCTTTGAAGTTGTGCATACCACCTTGTTGTAAACCAAGTGGCTCTTTTCTTCTTAAATTACCCAAGCTCTTTGCCTTGGCTCATAGACCTGTGAGATGCTCTAGGCTATTTAATAATTGCCAGGTATGGAGTTCCAACTGTGTGCTGGAGTGTACTGATCCCTTTTCAGACTTTTTTTCATTAATTCAAAAAATAACCCAATGGGGAATATTCTGTTATTCTGATTTGGCTGGTAAGGAAAGAGTAGCTTAGTTTGGCCAAGGCGAGATTACTGCTGTCTTTTCCTGCATCAACCCGAATCCCCACAGTGAAATCCTGCACTGGTTTTGGAAGTTCTTCAGTTTTCTGCTTAAACTTTCTCAGTTTCTAAAGGTAGATCACTTTAGTTCTCTTAGGGACTGCCTTTAAAGTAGAATATGACCCCTGGGTTTAATGAGGCCTGGCACTTGCAGGTACCCAGAGCACCCATCTCTGCCTGCCTGCTAGTCTGCCTGGCTATCTCAGGCCTCTTGCTACACAGTTCTTACTTCTGTAGTGAGGCCGCATACTTTGCCCTAATGGTCAGGGAGAGAGCTTCTGGGCTATTGTTGGCTGGGGTCCTGTGGGGACAGGTACCATTCTAAGGGTAACAGAGTGCCTGTGATTTCTGCCCCATTCTGTGGTCTGGCACAAGGGAGGTTTGGCTATGTCACTTGTCTGTAGGGTTCACAGTATATATATAAGTGTACTCACCTAGAGGCAGGCCTCAGGAGAGAGATCTCAGAGTGCCAGGATCTGGGGTCTGTCTCAATAGACCTGCACCACTGTGGGCCTAGCAGATAAGCATAAGGGATTCAGATTCGTAATAGAGATCAACACCTACTCTGTTCACAAAGGAAGGGAGAAATGGGGAAGGATATGTCCAAGAAAGGGTAAGAGATTATCTTCCAAGAATAGGCTGGCCCTTATAGAAATGAGAGGCATTTGGGTTGAGAGTCTCAAGGGCAAGCAGAAGCCACTGTCACCATTATCTATAACCCCATGGGCACCTAGGCCCTGAGTGAGCCAAGAAAACCTGCTTCATGGCTGTGCATATCAGCAAGCAGCTTGACCTAGCCATACTTGGCTCTCTGCCTCTGTGGAAAAAGATCAGAACAGGGGACAAAGCTCCACAGTGAATTTTGCAAAAAGAAAACCGTACCCATCATGGTCTCTTCGTCCTCTACGTGGTCATACTGTCCCATTTGGGGGGTCTGAAGGAAGGTTTATTCAGAAACCCTCAAGGTGGGCTCACAGACCCCAAGCCTCAGAAGAGTGTCTGTCATCTACTCTATTAACTAAGAAGCAGGTATCTGAGGGTTGCATCCTGGCCTGTTCACTGAGTCACTCTTTGTTTTCTACACTGAATCCTGTACTGTCCTGTGTTTCTCCCCAGGAAACGGGAGGGTAAATATTGTGGGTATATTGATGTAAGAAAATAGCAGGGGCTGATGCAAGGTGCATGCTGAAACTGGACACAAGGCCTTTGGGCAGAGGAGCCATCAAAAAGACTGGTGCTCATGTGGTTACTTTGGGAAGTTCAAAGATTAACTTGTGACTGTGGGAAAGGACAGTCAGTATTATGCCTTTAGGATCAGAGTTGGGACATGATTAGGGTGCTCGTGGGAAGTCTAAGTCTCACGGGTCAGTCTTTTCTGTGTGTTCCATTGTTCAGGAGTCAGTTCTGACCCCTTTTTAAATTTGTTTTGATGCTCACAGAAATGAGCTGATTATCCATAAGGGAAAGAATAGGATAAGAGGAGCAACATTGGTAGCATTTTTTGAAAACTTAACATGCACTAAGTTGCTCATAACCATTATATTAGTTAATCCTCACTAGAGTCCCAAGAGGAATGTGCTATTTCCCCCATTTTATAGATGAACTGAGGCTCAGAAAGATTGAATTACTTGTCATATGTCATCCAACTAGGACATGCGAGAATCCAAATTTGTTCGACTCCAAAGTGAAGGTGCCTCTTGTGATGGGACAAACAATTTTATTCTTTTAATGAGTATGGGAAAGTAAGGACAAACACATCTAGTATGTGAAATTTAACCTACTAAACTTAGTACTTGGGAACCATCCAGTGCAGCTGCCCATGTGTGTACATATATGAATGCACATATTGCTTTTGTTTTTTGCAAAAATTTATGCCAAACACACCCAAATGCTTGTATGTATGTATATTTGGGCAAGTATGCAGATGTGCCTACAGGCTGGGCAGAGGCATTAACTGTGCCCAAAAGTGTGAGAACATCCAGGGAGGGAGCCTTTGGCTCACGCTTTATCCACCAGTGGTATTTTGATTTCTACTGTATTTCCTGTACCGGGAGTAGGGAGATGAAGCTGCATGCACTTGTTACAGCAGCATATCTAAGTGCTGTGGCTTGAGTATTTTGGGATAAGGAAGATCACATCTAAAATGAGAATGTACAAGTCTGAATCAAGGACTGCACCCTCACATTTACCACAATTACAGCTCCTGTGGTCTCAAGGGTACCTTGGCCTCAGTGAGCAGAGGAGAAAAAGAGCCTGGTCAACTAGGAGGATGCAGGAAAAAAAAAAAGCAGGTTGATGATCAGAAAGAGTGAGTTTTTTTGGCAGAGTTCCACACTGTGGGGAGGGCAGAGAGCCCTCCTACTTCTATTGCCTCTTTCCCTCACTCTTGTCCTAGGGCCCACTGGGTTCTGGGATCAAACATGAGACGCTTCATCATAGTTTGGAAGTTGTTCTGACTTGCAGGGAATTCTCTATTGTTTTTCCAGGCTGAGGTGGCCCAGCTACAAGAGCAAGTGGCTCTGAAAGATGCAGAAATTGAGCGTCTGCATAGCCAGCTCTCCCGGACCACAGCTCTTCACAGTGACCATGCAGAGAGAGGTGACTGGATTGACTATGACAGAATGCAGTTGTTCTGGGCCCACTCTTATAAATGGGCATGTATATCTATGAATGAGTGTGCATATGCTTGTGTATGTAGTTATGCCATTGTGCACTTTCATGCATGTATGTGTCTGAGCATGCCCAAGTGAGTGGATGCATATATGTGTGCATGTGTGGGAGCCTGTAAAGCACAACTCTGTTGTAGAATCATGTCACTGACTCTTCTGTATCTAGAACACACAGCTCTGAATGTTTTTCTCAGGTATACAGCGTTCATTGAAGCTCTGTGCAGCCCTCTGAAGCTTTTACTGAGAATGTAGCAAATACCTTACTCTTCCTTTGATTAAAAGGCCTTGTTTCTGTGTTATCCCCAAAGAGGAGGCTTATAAATTCATCCCACCTGACAGCTGTACAAGGCCCTAAGGTTACAGAAGCAAATCAATTTATTCTCATCCTTTACATCTCAACTTAAATGTCATTTCTCAGAAAGACCTTTCCTGACTACCCAACTACAAGATGATGCCCCTACTCCTTTTATTCTCTGAGAATTCTTCATGTTTACTTCACAGTACTTATTATAACTTATGAGTGTTATATTTGAGGAGATCTTGTGATGATCTTCACTCTGACATGACAAGGATGGTATCTTTCTTGTTTAGGAATATATTTACAGAGCCCAGCACTGTATTCAGCCCATGGTAACCTCCAAAGTAAAGTAATTGAATAAGGATGGTGAATGGTCCCTGAGGAGTTTAAATCTTACTGATTGAAAATAGAGGATAAATCTTCAAATACTCCAATTAATGCATTTTATCTTTATGTTATTTGCGATGTATACAGAATGATTACACACATTCCAGCTTCTCCAGTTGCCACCAGGCTGTAGAGCAGTACTGTTGGAGATCATATTGTCCTATGGATTGGTGCCATTGTAGAGTCTCATCTTGGCCTCAGCACTGCTTAACTTGAATCTCCAACTGATGTGGAAGCCATGCAACCATGCATCAGTGGCTTAGACTTAAAAAAGAAATTAGTGACCAATATGTTCATTCCTGCTCTAGCTTTTCATTGGTATCCTCCAATTGGGTGTCATGTACCTGCCAAGGCCTACCTGTGGAGACTGGGAAGTCGTGAACTATGCCAAACCTTGGCAGAGAGTTCCTGGCCATGACTTCTAGGACAGGCAGGCAGCCTTCCCTCTCTACCCCATGCTTCCCTGCAGTCCAGGCTTTCCAGGACCTGCCCCAGTCAATTATCAGGTACCTCCTAGAGATGGTCCTTTAGTTGTTTGCTGCTCAGGTTGGGTTCTGGCTACAAATCCAAGTTTGACAATCCCCACCTCCTGGCAAATTAAGCTACAGAGTTGATGTCAGCTGCCAGCCTAAGATAATGAGCAAACACATTCTACTTCACCCTGAAAATGAGCTCCACAACTATTCACACAAAGTCCATACATCTACTGTTGCTACTCTCATTGAATATAACAAGCATCCCAAAGGAAATAGGATGGATGCCTATACTTCTGTTCCCTTGTCTTGTCTTATACAGACATCCCTAATCCCTTTGCAGTATCCACTTTAGGAATAGGTATAGGTTCTTATTCAGAAAATCCAGTTATATATCAATCCCTAGACTTCTAAGTATCTGGCAAATGACCTCCAGCTTCTTTAGACATTAGCCTTTGACCTGGTTCTTCAGACAAGTTTGGGAAGAATTCAAATGGGTCCCTCATGGGTCTAAAGTGAGAAAAAAATATGGGTTTTCTATCACAGACCAACACAGAGCCCTCAGCCCACAGGGAAATTCTGTCGATTTATAATGAAACAAGATTATTTTCCCTTAATGGTAGAGATTGTTTAATATATTTATTTATGTATCTGAACATTTGAAAATTCTGATTATACTATTTGAAATTAAGTTGACTACCCCAAACTCTTACATAATCATTTTTCTCAGTATCCATTTAGATGTAGATTTTTATTTTTCTTATTTTAAATTCTCCTCTACTTATAGTCTGTTTCTTAAAATAAGAAAAAGAAAAACAAGCCAGCAGCCTAGACATATGCCTATGAGAATAAGAATATCTGCCTTCTTGGGAGAGGTTGATTGTAAAAGATTTTTGGTTCTTCTGTGTCACTTTTGCATAAATGGCATTTTTATTTTTCCCGTGAATGTCTACAAAGAGAAGACAAAATACCAGGTTCATTCACTTAATAGTCAAACAAATATTTTATGAGACTAACTCTGTACCAGATACCATCCCAGGCTCTTTAAAGAAACAATCCAAGTTCACATAACAAGTTTGAACTTGAGTGGCATCTTAACATATGTTGATAGCTGTTTGTATTTATACAAATAATCCTTTCTTTGCCTAAATTCTTTTAGATCAAGAAATTCAACGTCTGAAGATGGGGATGGAAACACTGCTTGTTGCCAATGAAGATAAGGTAAGATAGCCATTGTCCTTTCCCTGATAACACCTCTAGCTCTGTTTGTTCCTGTTGCTCTCTGGTACTAGACAGAGCTGTGTCCCTTGGGCCATCAACAGGCAGATGCCAGGAAGATAGCTTCTGCCTCCTAGAGACTCAGTTTCAGCACCTGTTTTGGATGCCTGGGAACTTTGCCTAAATGGAATCTTTCAAAGGCAAATTAAAGCCCTGCCTATTTATGCTAGTGTCGGGGGAAAAATACTACTATGGTTAATGCCAATGTAATAGCTCCTGCTTTGATTCCTAGCAAAACTCAGAAACGGTCCACCAATATTCGTGTATACAATCTTTTTTTATACAAGTATCATAAAGACACTGGGCAACATGCAATACCTTGGTTTACCCTGCCATCTTATATTCTTCACACCTCATTCTTGCATAATCATAAATAAACACACCTATAAATAAAAAGCACCTAGCTAATGTAAACATCATCTCTAAGGATCCTTTCCCCAGGGTCAGGTAACTAGTGGAGAGCAGAGCCAGGGTTCACACCCAATGGTGTCTGACTCCAAGATCTTTGTGGTCTCCCAAGTTGGTAGACCCTTGCTTGAAAGAACCTATCCCCTCTGGAAATTTCTTCTGTATGTGAGTATCTCTGACACCTAAGGAAGAGGTGAATATATCAGGTTAAATATGACAGCTTTTTTTTTTTTTTAGTCTTTTTTCTGTGCAACTTCAGAGGGTAACACTGGAGCAAGAGGCAGACTTTGTTGGTGGCTACTTCAGGGAGGTAGGGGGCAGAGAGTTTCATGCTTCTGAAATGTTTAAGACCCTTGAAGGATATGTCAGTGATTGTTGGCCCACAACCTTCAGATAGAGTCATGAGTATCAGACCTCTGGGACCCTGTTCCATGGGATGGACCTTGACTGTTTCCCTTTGGGATGCTCCAGAAGTTCCATGTGGGTTTTCTTCTCAATGTGCCCAGAATATAGCTGGGTCCCAAAATGAAATCCAGTAGTGGTGCTAATCTAAATCCCTTGCATGATGGCAGGACCGTCGGATAGAGGAGCTCACAGGGCTCTTGAACCAGTACCGAAGGGTGAAGGAGATCGTGATGGCAACTCAAGGTAAGAACAAGAGCAAGTCTTCCATTTTCCTGAACAGTATTTTATCTGCTAAGTCAAATCCAGGGGTAATTCTGCCAGATGATTCTTTATCTCCAGTTGGAGAAAATCTACTGGAGAATGAAGCTTTTTGGACTCTCCTTGATAGTGGAAAAGTGGAATTTGTTGATTCCAAAAATGTTATCAAGTGATAGTCAGCTCATAACTTCCAGGGACTGTGCAAATCATCAAGAAAATAAAATCTTCAACTTTTTTACCTGGGAATTTCCACCCTTAGAGGATGTTCTACACGTGTCAGAGTACCCTTTAGAATGGAAACAAACCTGGATCAGAAATAAGTGTTCCCATTGGAGAGTAGAGCTTGTCTTCCTCTTAGAGAACCTAGAGCTCCTCCAAGGACACCTGGGAGTCTTCCGTGCATCACCAGGTGCCTGGTTTTCACAAGAAATTACTGGACAGGGAGAGCTGTTGTTTCATATTTGCCACCAATACTGCTATGATGTACAAACACATTTGTGTTCTTATAGGCACAGTGTAGCATATGCTAGGCTGCCTGCCTTGTCTGCACTCATGCCGTTGACCTCAGCCCCCATCACAGATCCTGAAAAAGCAGCAGTTTCACAAGAAAGGAATTCAGGAATCTCTGCTTCTGTCTCTTCTTGAGAAGAAGCCATGCCTCTGCCAGGATTGTGGCTAACAAGTCACTGCTGAGGACATCTTCCAGTCCCCCCACAAATGTTACAGATTTCTTTTCTCTAATCCTTTGGGATCTTAGTCCAAGCCTCTGTCAGGACCTGATTGTCCCCAGGCAAAAAAGAAAAAAAATAAGAAAGCTGGAGAAGGGTGTTTTACCTCTGTTCTAGGAGTGAACTTTGACCTTGAAATGACCCTCATGATAGCCTTTGCTCAGATGATATGAAGAATCTTCCAAATAACTCTCTTAATGTCCCTTTTGTTTTATTATTCTTTCTTAACAAAGGCAAAATGATATTAGGGTTTTGTGGTACAATTACAAGCTTCTGAACAGTTCATATACCAGTGGTCCACCATAATACTTCCAGCCTTCATGCTTCCAGGGCCTTCAGAGAGAACTCTCTCCATCAATGAAGAAGAACTGGAGGGAAGTTTTAGAAAATGGAACACTGTAAATAAAGGCACTGAAGAATTTAAACAAGAGGTACCATGTTTCCATTCATGATATGGGGTTTTAGCAGCCCTTGGAGCTTGCCCTTAGCTTGAAGGAGGATCTAGTCAGGTACCTTTCCAATGTACATCTTAACTGGCAACTAACTAAATCAATGGAACAGGTCTTAGGCCTTAGAGAGAGAGTGGAGGAAAGAAAGGTCCACGGCTCAGGCCTGTATTCTCACTGGGGACAGCATAGTGGGTGCTGGAATTTTCAAGGATGGGAATTTTTCATTTTAATTGGATGCCTTATCTTTCCTCTGTAGAAGTAAGCATAGACCAATGTGGTGTCTTATTTACTACTGTTTCTTCAGGATCTGCGATAATGTCTGATACCCAGTAAAATTCAACAAATGAATAGTTCACCTTGCTCATTTAGAGAGATAACTTCAACTTCTGAAGTGATACATTCCTGCTTCACAGACAGCCCTTTCAGTGCCTATAATGAGCATACAGATTTTTCTTCTCTTTGGTTTGAAATTTGTTTTTGTATGAATCCCTCAGAATTTATTCTAAATACAAATGAACAAATAAACTCATGCATACTCACCTCAGGTGAAGAAGGGCTTTCAGCTTAAGGGCAAAATGTTTCATGAAATTCCAGAATGGTCAAACTGAAAAAGAATTTAGCAGGCCAGATCAATCTTTTAATTAAGGAAAGATCAAATTGTGATCCAATAACCCTGTTATTGAGCCAAGGAAGAACCCCCACATTGCTGGCAATTACAAAATAGCAATAACAAGCCTTGTTTATTACCTCTGTGTGGTCACTGTATAGTTCTTACTTAATTTACTCCTCATGACACCCCATTGGTATTCTTATTTTATTGTGATAAAATTGTGGATTAGAGAGGTAAATAATACACTCCAGGGCATACTGCAAGTAGATGGCAGAATCTTGACTTGAGCTCAGGTCTGTCTGACCACAAAACTCAAGCTCTTAACAACTATGCTATAATATAAGGGTTCTTCCTATAGGGAAGAGGTGGTCTTTGTGGTTAGCACCATACTGAAGACATAGGACTGTGTTCTTATACCCTCATTAGTTTACATTGCTCCCCCTGAGATCCTCTTTTCTTTCTTCCCTTCTTTATGAACTCATTCTCACATCTCAAGATTTGCCTCAAGTGTTCTCCCTTCTGAAGCTCTCTCAACATTCCCACCAGCTAGAGGGAGCTTCTCCCTGTCCTTTGTTCCCTTTTTTATGTTGTCAGCGTCAGTGCCCTAGGATGGGTGGCATTGTTTTTATCCTTGCTTACTTATTTGCCTGTCAGATGTGTAATGTGCTTACCTCATACCTAGCATTGGGCCAGTGTTTGTGGAGTAACTATATCATTAGGGTTCTCTCACGGGAGTAACAGAATTTGACTCTGGCTAACCTAAGCTGAAAGGGAATGTTTTTGAAAGCATGTGTAATGACTTCCTAAATGAAAAGAAGAGCTGAAGAGTCAATCTCAGAAAGGACTGGAGTAGCAAAAGCCCAGGGACTCAGGTCTCAGGACTCTACTGCAAGGATGTGAATTTTATCTAAGAGCTGGGGTTTAGAGTGGAAAGGCATCAACCAGGATGGATTGACATATCTGCCTTCATGGTATTTTGAAGGAGCAAGGCATCCATCTTGATGTATCCACCGTGGCTATACCCAGTGGTGGAAATGTCACTCCCCAAAAATATCAAATAAGGAGAAAGGATGGTTCTCAAATAGTAACTCTGTTCTATGGTAACCCTATTTTGATATAGATGCCTCCAAGATGCAGCTCTCCCACAGTGGGGCCACCTCCTTTGCCACAGAAATCACTGGAAAGCAGGTAGGAGCTTGACCCTCTCTCTGGAGCTCTGCTCTCAGCCCATCTTGCAATCCTCAAGTGTAGGGTAACTGGCCATGTGTGGTGAGCACAACCACCATTCTGAGCACATGCATCCTTCAGTTGACAGGGGGCACCAACCAGGCCTGCCTCTTCTGGTCACAGAAGGGCTTCCCTTCCCACGGCTGAGAGTCTAGATCACTGCCACTGAGAAAAGAGCTAGCCAGGAATTGGGGTCTCAGTGGAGAAGTGACTACTACAACTCACCCATGCCCTCCAGTGGCTCCTTGGAGCTGAGTGTGCCCCATGATATGTGTCTGTCATTTCCATCATCCCTTTTGACATGTCCTTAGCATTCTTGGAGTGATCTAGTCCTTTGACCACCCAGGCACTATAGGGAGGAACATTTCTCCCCACAGGGAAGTTGGTCCAATTGCTTTGGTGAAAAAAGACTTATAAACTACACTATAGAGTCATTGACTACCCCCTGACTGGTTCCCTCCAAAATTAACCCATTTCTGGATCCCCGTTTCAGTTCTTTAGAACATGTTTCTGAGCTTAGTCAGTAAGGGAGATATGGAGGTTTCACCACCATGAAAAGGCTCTTTCAGCCAACGTGTCTGGGGAAGAACATAATCATAACAGGCTTCCCTAGAAAGGTGCTGAGCCTCCAGATTCCAGTCTTTACTCTCAGAGTCCAACTTATAGAGAATCTGAAGCATCAGCCAGCCCCAGAGCAAACCAACAATATCAGAGAGTGATTGACCAGTCCTAAGTTTTATAAAATAAGAAATTTAGTTTATGAGTTCACTCAGGGGGAAATAACAATAAGGGATTCACACTGACTGGACTTACAAGAGACTAATGTATAAAGAAAATTTGTCTTATATCTATTAACTGAGGAATATAGCTGCCAAGAAGACTTGGCACATGGTAAGCCTTGTGATCACTGGTGGCATTGCCTCTTTTTAAATTATTTGGTGCCCTTCTCTGCAAAATAGCCTCTATGAAAACAATATTCCTCTGAGCAGACTTCTCAGGATATAGAGGGCCAGAGAAGAGTGTTGGAGGATCTTAGCAGGAAGTAGTTTGTAGCAATGGCTGGCTGATGTGTTTGTCTCTACTCTAAGGAGGAACCAAATTCTTCCTACCTGGATTACTCTTAGACTCACAAACAAGTCAGTATCAGTATTCTTCTTGTATTTCGACTCTGCAGACATTAGTCTTCTTTATGAACCCAGGGTAGCTACACAGATAACACAGTAGTTACCTCTCATGGATGCAATAGAGTTAAGTGTATTCTAACTGAGCAACATGAAGGACTTTTTATTGGGACTTAAGTGATGCTGTCATGCCTTCATCAACATCTCCCAAGGTGGGACAGCCTCATCTAATATGTTGGCTGTTGTGAGAAGGTGGTTCTTCCTTCTGCCATTTACCTTAAGCCCAAGAGAGACTACTGGTTAAGCATTTAGATTGCCTTCTGTATTAATGATACCAACCTTCACTTTCTCTTATAACTATTTTTGTCACGTTATGTTTTTCCAGGGTTCAGAAAAAACTCTCCTGTAGTCTAGAAGATTTAAGAAGCGAATCTGTGGATAAGGTCAGCTCATCAATCTATCCATAAAGATTACTGAGTTACTTCTTTAGGCCTATTACAGAGCTGGGATATGTGGGCGAGTGCTACCTTGGAGAGGCTCTTGCTGGTAAGGCAGAATTACAAGAATATTTGAGAAAATCTGTCAGATATAGCCCAAGGCATCCTAGAGACAAGACAACTCGGGAAATGCGGGCTAGAGTAGGTAAGAGAAGAGGTGTCAGTGAGCAAAGGCTGAGTCTGAGTCTGATGGGCACAGGCAGGATTTGGGGAATGATGGGAAATAGGAAGAAGTAAGGTCAGAGCCAAGTATTAGATCAAGCCAGAGAAGATCTTGAATATTGGCCTTATCTCCCAAGGCACTTGGGATGATTGCAGCAATTTTGAATTAAATAATATGGATAAAGGAAATGATTCCCAGAGTAAGGTCTGGGATTGTTTACAAGATTCAAGAAGCAACTTAAAAAAAAAAAATCTAGGAAAATGAGGGCTTTGTGACCCCCTTAGTAGCCTTTGACCATGTGGGTGGCACCTATGCTAGAGGATCACAGGCTCTTTTGCTTAGTCATCACAGAACAAGGAACCTGCTCTGATTGAGCCTCTAGTGATCCCATGCTGCATGCTATCCCCTGGTTCCAGCAGTATCAGCCTCCCAGGTGACACAATGGAGACCCATAAAAGCTGGATTTGGCAGGAGCCATGGTCTTGTCTAGTGGCTTTGCTCCTATGGGCATATGCCTCTCACTTCCCTGATCAGATTGCTGGCAGTGGCCCGGGTGTCTGTCGACAAGGTTAGACAGGGATCTGCATTTGCTGGCGTGTTATGGTGATCTCCTGACACGAAGATGGGGGAGAGGCATGAGCCTTTCAGATATAAGCAAGTGGATAGTCCTGACTTATTTATGCTTTTAGACTTATTAAGATTTCTTTTCTCCATATAATTGAAATTCTTTCTGTTACTCCATAGTGTGTCAATGGGAAGCAGCTTTCTTTGGCAGTAGAACCCAAGGTACATTAAGTTCATATTATTATCACTTTTTTTGTGTTTGCTCTATTTGCCAGAGTGTTATAACAAGTTATGGTTTTTGTAGTCTTAAGATATGTTAACCATCGGGGTAAGAGGACAAGAAGAAAGACAGAACTTCCTCCTCCCATTTTACTTTTATGTGCACCCAGGTGTATAATGAGCTTTCACCAATATTATCTGTGGATAGGAGTTATTATCAACACTCCATTTTATAGGCTCTATTTTATAGAAACTAATCTTTATAGAAAGAGAGAAAACTAACCATTTTATAGAAACTAATCTTTAACAACAATCTAGCCTTAATCACTGGGCAGGGAATGCTGTGATCTCAGTACACAGAAGAGCGTGGCAGCTCTCATCCTTTATGTGCTGATGAAAAACACAAGAGTAGGGCTGGGGATGCAGCTCAGTGGTGGAGCATTTGGCTAGCATGTCAAGGCTCTGGGTTTGTTTCCCAGTGCAGCAAAACAAAACAAAACAAAACACAAACAAGTACTCTTAGCTTCCCTTTAATGAACACGTCACATTTAAAAATTCCATTAGAATTTATTTCCTCCTAGAAAAACCTGTTTTGAAAGATGATTATATTTCCAGGTTGGTGCACAAATATTGAGCCCTTGATGAACTGAAGTTTTTTATAAATGGCATGATTTCATCCATTATTTTTAACATCATATGGGAGAATGTATTGTACTTGACCCTCATTTGCCTTTCATATGAGACATGGGTCCTTGTTGCCCATGAACTTTGATCTGAGAGGGTCATTTTATATTTTCATACCAGTGTGATAGAATGGGCCATCTCTGTCCTCTTAACTCAGGGTAAGAGGAAGATCTTTTTTATACTTCTATAGGCTTCTCTGCACTTTTATATTTATAGTAGTCAGTACTACAATTGGGAAGCCATTCCTTGAGCCATCTGAACTATAGAGCAGGAGTCTTCTGCCTGCTTTCTTGTCTCAGCCTGGAGCCCAGGCTTTGTATAGTCCCTTGGCAAATTGAAAGCCTTCCTGTAGAGACTGCTCTATGGCATTTTTCACCCAGCAGTTTCCCTTCCCTCTTCAGCCTCACAGAGGTCATTCATGTTTCTAAAATACATGTGTAAGTAATCACCCACTTTTTGGAAACAGAGCTGGTTCACCAGCTCAAGCTTTAAGAAATATATGTGATGGGAGATTGTTTATGAAGAGAACATATTCCAGATTAAAAGATTGATTCTTTTATGATTTTAACCATAACTATAATCTTGTGTGGTCTCAACTAGTTCAACATGAACACCTCTTTGCACAAACACACACCCTACCCCATATCCTCCCCAGGACTGTTCCACAGGTGCAATGATCTTTTTGCAGTATCCCCTACCCTTGGTGCCAGGCCCTTTCTTTCTGTCACTGAGAGGTCACTAAATCATAAGATACTTCTTATATTCTCTTCAAGCTCTCACTGTGAGGCATGTCTGCTGAGCTTCACCAGAATGCACATCCCCTGATCTGGCTCTCCTATGGGATGAGTCAGTACCCTCTACTACTGATGTTCTAAAATTAAGTCCTCTTATGTTCTGTTCTCAGGACTGAACATCCTCTTACCATGTACATGGATCACCAGCCTTTAAAGCACTAGTTTCTCAATGTATTCTTTAAATTTGTCTTGGGTCAGACTTGGGCTTGATATTCTAGATGTCATTTGACCTGTGCCTTCCTTGATCTAGGGTCTGCTCTTCTGGACTGCTGTCTCTCTAGGACTCAGCATGCATACTTCTGTTTATCTGTTGTTCACTGTATGTGTATCATTTCACAGCAGATCAAAGGCAGAAATTGTTATTCCCTATTTAGAAATGACGGAACAGAGGTTCTGAAAAGTTAAAGAGAAAGAACTTTTCCTGAGTCAGTCTGACTCAGGCCGTGGGCTCTCTCCCCTCTCTGGCAGGCTGCTTTTCGATAATTCAAAGCAGCTCAGTAATAGGTTCCATGCTGCTCTTTCTCATGGGTTTTCATTTCCCCATAGCCAGGATTATTCTTCTTGGAGGTGGGAGAACAGAATCAGGCTCAAGCAGTCCTGTCTCCTCTGTGTTCTAACTTGACATTGCACTGCTTTCTCCAGCAGTGAATGGTTCTTGCCAGTTTTTCTTCTTGGCCTCAACAGAGCTGAGCGGGCCTTCTCCATTGCCTTTGGTTCCTTGTGCTGTCTTTCTTACAGGTCAGGAGCCCTATCCTAGGGCCAGGTGCATGCTCTCTTTGCATCTCAGCTACTCAGGGAACTACACACGTGGCCCACATCAGAGTTCTTGTCTTTGGCCATCTTTGCCCTGTCTTGGGGGAGCTTATGTGATGATACAGCCACAAATATGTTTGAGAGCCCTTCCCTCTCCTTTACTTCCTGTGTAATATGGAACTCTGAGTCAGGTCCCTCAGTTTTCTGAACTCTCTGAACACTGCCTTCCCACGGTCAGAGGTTCCCATATCTGACTGTGTATCAGAAAATAATCTTGAGATCCTTGTTAAAAATATAGACTCCTGGAGTGTGCTCCAAAAGGGCTGATTCACAGGGCCAGAGGAACCTGGGAATTTATGTTGTTTTTGCAAGTGAAGAAGCCCGTGCATGAACTAGCACTGGGAAACTATTGCTCTTGTCCACACATCTGATCATGTCAAACCTCCACCTCATGGATCATCAGGAACTTGAAAACCTTATGCTCTTCATCTCTTGAAGTTCTAATTACTTCTACTCACTAGCCAGTTCTTTCAGAATTCTTTAAGAATTTAGTCTCCTCTTCTTTCCTTTCTGAGCTTAATTATAGCAGGTTATTTTCTATATTCAATGAGTGAACTGCATTTCATATAATTTCTAGGACATGCATTTATAAGCAAACTGAACTCAGAAATATATTGAACACTTGACTTATAGCTGAATGAAATTTCAAAGATGTCTAAGTCATACTAGTCTCCCATTATTGGCCTGACTTGCCAGTTTCAAAATCTATCTTGTCTTTCATATGACTTTTCTTCTGGATCCAATCAAGTGATCTACAGTTGGGTCCCTCAACAATGTTGCTGCAATTTCTCTTCTCTTTTATTCTTGCTCTTGAAATGCACTCTACTGTTTTCCCCAAGTTTGTAGATTTAGGGGCCATATATGCTCCTTGGCCAAATAAGTGCTATTCTTCTTCCTCTTTTATTCAACTTGCTTCTTTGGGACTTTTTATATGGCCAGTGTTCAACCACAGGGTCCATTGCATCAAAACTATGCCTCAGACAATGTACCTTAGACAATAATCCTAAATTCCAAAGGGAACTCTGCGTTGGCATATAGTCCTCTTCCCCATTTTTCCTGTTGTCATCTCCCAAAATGTGTGCATACCTTCTTGCTTTGCCTTAACAGGCTTTCATAAAGAACTGTTATCACAAAACAGACTTTTTCTTCTACTGCTTCAAATTTAAATTCTAATCTTCTTTCTTTAGCATAGCCTTTAAGCCAGAATCTACATAATTTATGCACTTGGTTAAACCCCTAAAGAGATTTGCCCTGACCTGTTTCTGAATAAGGGTCCTACTCTGGAGAAGCATATCCTTATTGCCTGCAGGAAAGCAGGTCTCAGGAGAACAGGGAAACACAGACCAGATATATATATATATATATATATATATATATATATATATATATATATAT